GCTATTTTAACGTGTTGGGAATTTAACCGCGGGTACCTTGGAGAAGATATCGAGATCAAGCCTGAACCTGTGATTTAGCCACAGAGGCAGAGGCAGAGAGTTTGCTGTAGACGCGCGAAATGGAATGACACCCGGATGGGCGTAGTTTTGAAAGAAATCTGATTTTTAAGATAATAAAAGAGTTGGGTCGATCACTTGACCTGAAAGGTAAACGTATTCCCCTCCGAGGTCTCTTTGGGGACCAAAGCAGATCATGCTGCACAGCATGAATCGCAAGGCGACGATTTTCCGGTCCGGATTAAACTAGATGTATCCAATAGAACTGTTTCGACGTAGTAGACGAACGATTTAAAGGTGGAAAGGACAAGGAAATCATCGTCAGAAATTAAACATCGCAATCGCGCCATGAAAGTTGGATTTCGGCCGGTAAACTTTGTGGAAGAAAAAGAGGCGAAAAAAAGTCGAAAACTTGACCTTTTATCAGAAAAGAATAATTTAAAGATGATCAATGCGTTGCGGTCAAAAGACTTGATGCTGCAAATACTGAAGGTAGATCTGTTCGTAAATTATTAATGACCCGATCTCAGCTCCAGCGGCTGCATACATACGCTGGGAGTGATCAACGGAATGGTCCAGTTGCTACGGGATGCATAATGAGTCACGGGGGTGTATAACGCGAATAAATTACTGGATTGAAAACATGAACAAATGATATAGGGTGTCGATAGCTCTATGAAGGGCTAAACACGTTGACGGGTAATTTTAAGCACGTAGATCAAGCGTATTTTGCGATTCCAGATTCTCCAAGAAGATATCACACTAGATCATTCAACTCGCGTCAGCTGAATCCGAGATAGAATTTGACGTTTTTTTGGTTTCCAGCGTATGGCGCTAAGTCCAAGTGATGCAAAACGTTTGCTAGGTCGCATGGAGTTGATCAAGTACGTGTCGTGTTCGGCCGCTTCATGTGACAGTGAGGACGTAATCCTGAACATCCCGGGTCCACCACAGACGTAGTTTGAAGGTGCCGTGAGATGTTTTTATCAAGATCAACGTGTGCAGACCCGTTTAACAGTCTATATATTAGTTGTAAAGTGAAATGTGGGAAGAAGTATGAAACATACATTTCAGATGTCGATACAGGATCCGGTCGGTCGCGTCAAGAGAGATTGATTACCTTTTTACTAGTTGTAGGATATCTCAACCACTCCGTGCAGGTAGACCTCAGTCGGCCAATGGTTCCGACAACGGAAACGGCACCGGGATATTGGACGTAGCGCTCGACGGATTCGAATGTCTGTGATCGTAGATCTGAAAGATGTTTACGGATCATATCGATATGAAAATTTAAGCCAGGAGCTAATTTAGCCAAGTCAAGTCCGCATGGATACGGTACCCAGTTTCAAATGAAAAGAAGTGCCTAGTGTTCATCGGTATCCTCACGGGCCCAGCACAGAACTAGTATAACCAGCTGAGCCGATCTGATCTTTATTCATGAAAAGACCTTTCGAAAGTTTTCCGTGCTGTATTAACGCAATGTTATGTTTGATGGATGTCAAAACTATCATGCAAAGAAGCGCTGGATAGAAAAGTCATGGAACTACCGATATCTTTTATATATTGCAGCAATAAGGGCGAAGATACGTATTCGATACAAATCGCGGGATGTAATTCGTGAACATGTGGATCGGTTCATTGGGAGCTTGACAATCGCAATATTGTGGGGATTGGTGATCGCTCCTTTCGCGAGACGATCCCGACTCTCCACTAGCACTGGACGACCGACTAACGGAATAAATACTTTCATTTTTGCTAGATGTTTACTTTCTCACCTTGCGTACTCGTCCGTGGGGTGAGTTGCGTTCTTCTTAGTAGAATTAAGGTGAAGCTAAACTAAACCATTTTAGGGATAGGCTTCAATCGGGTGAAAATACTTCACTCGATCAAATGTAGGGGGTGTATCGAGTGAAAATTCTTCATTCGAACGAGTGTGTACTCGTGCGCTCTCCGAGAGTAGCCTCAATTTAGGGGTGATGCTTGATCCGAGAGCCTTCTAACCACTTGAGTCGTCTCGCTATTTTGATTTTAAACCGTTCGTTTCCAATGCGTCCGATTGCAGTCGGGACGGTGATATTGACGTTTCGCCTGACTACAAAATCTAAGGGCAAAGTTTGCAGAGAAGCGGTTCAATCTCTGTTCAACGGGAGGCCAAAGATCCTGTCCGGGAGAATACGATGCGTGTCGTTCGTTGCAAATTCAATATTGTTAACTGTCAACCAACCCAATCTAGAACCTATGACAATGCATTTCTGTGCGCTAGGTCATCTTTGCGCGATGAATATATATATGTCCATTAGTTCTTGCATTCTGTGACATTCAGCAGATATTCGGGCGTCGGATCGCTCCGCAGCGAATGCCTCCGTAGTGTATTGCTAGGTAGAGGATCGCTCGAGCATTGGGTCACGTTATGTGGTCACAAAATTAAGCGGTACATGCCCAGGAGAGATCGTTTTTAATCGCTTGCGTTTCGGGCGTCTCGGGCATCCACGGTCGGATCGCTGTCGCATCTGAAACGTCGCACGCTTGATGACCCGATTCTTCGTCATGCCTCCATATCACCCATCACCCATTATTCGTTTTCGATAACGTAATTTACATCTTAATCGACAAATTAGTAAGCCTTTCCTTTTAGATTAATGATCCAAGTCTTTGGTCGCGGATCGTGGTCGTTCAGTCGCCGATCCGTGACTGTACTCTTTTTTATGTTCTTTGGACAGATCAGTCCCAATACATATAACAATCGTTTTCTTCACTTGATCTGTTAATCCCATCACTTGTGTCATCAATTCCATCTGAGAGTGCACTCCATTACTAGATTACTTTCGCTCATAAGGCTGTTCGCACGATTGAAACTTTTTATCCTTCGTCATTCACCATTCTCTACAATCTGGCCAAGCAATTGACTTTGCTAAGGTTGGACGATGCAAATGACATGAAAGGGACGTTGCGCGCTATTTGCATGTAAAAAAGACAGGTTCAATCATCGACAAGATGGAATAGTTCCGATCGCGACCCACAACAGCTTTTTCTTCAACACCGGCGAAGCCAGCTCTCGCAGTAAGAGCTCTCCATGTAGAGATCATAGACAGTGGATCAGAATCCGATCTCATAGATTGTAACGGGAAAGAAAAACGACGGAATGTATTAGTGGCCTCGATCTCACGCCGAGCGAAATTATTTGGAAGATCTAGGGGTGGATTCGGATGAGAAGCGTGGAAGGCCTTGCGGATCTCATCACGATGAATTAAGCGTGCACTTACTGCGGCTCGAAAACACATGACAATCGTGTGTTCTGCAAGAGAGTGATGTGCCAGAAGTGTGGCCACAAAATGCATACGTCGGACAAGTGCTTGTACGTGTGTGCAGCTTGTGGAGAGATACATGATTGTGGCAAATACACCATGAAGAAATTGTACCATATTAATTGCAAGTGGTATGGACCCAGCAAGCATGCAAGAATCAATCCGCCCAAGGCCAAAGGGATCTCAAAACAGGACGCTTGCCCGGTTTCAATCTGGTACGAGCCCAGCGTTCTAGGCTTTGCGATTACGCATTTGTTATAGGCCAAAAGATCGAATAAAATGTCAACGATAGGATCGAAATAATTATAAATATACGTGATGGTTCTACTTTTGCCTCTTCAATCTCAAGTGTGAAAGAAGGGGACCAATATATTCGGTTTTATATGAAATTGGAAATCAATTTCGCTTTTGGAGAGTCGTGCGAGTATTGAAAGTATCAAACTTCGGGAAAGTGGAATAAGCAAGCCAAGGCTGTAGGCAAGACCAACACCAAAAATATACCATGTTGTAGGACGTCGGCGCAGAAATATTAGGTATAGAAAAGACCTATTCTGATACCGCGGGATGTGTGGTTGACGACGGTCGGACGCATGAATGCGTTAAGATCGGGGAATATACCAACTCTACGGTGAGACGAACCAAGATTAAGGTCTTATTGGACAGATTTAGTTGGAAATTATCCACTGAATGAGTTCTACAACATGATCCGCCAGTAGTATGTCCCAAACAAGCAAGCGGCGATGTTGCCAGAGAAGGCCGAGAAGATGCTAAACCAAAGCGCTCGCCAGGTTGGAATCTGGTACAAGCCGAGCGTTCTAGGCTCGGCATAATTGCTTACGTGTAAATAAAGAATACAGATCGCGAGAGTCACCATATGAAATGACCAGTGTAATGGGGCACACTTCTTACCAGGTAACTAGTTTTTCTTGCACTTATTGAAATACAAGATTGTGTGCTTTCGGACTTCACGTGCACGTGATCGCTGGAAGAAGCGAGAGAGCTGAGCAAGAAACAGCTCGGGGTACGGGGAGAGTCGAACTTTATCCAATACACTTGAGTCTCTTTAATGGGACTTGGTTTGTCATACTTGTACTATAATGAAATACAAACTTCCTGTGCAGAATCTCACTCGCCGCCCATTGCGCGCGTCAGGCAGCAATTGGTGGTTTGTTTGGTCGATTTCATGGTCTAAATTAAGCAATCGTAGAGCGGTGCCGACAGAGGTAATATTCCTGTAGTATTGGCTCAAGAGTTATATTGGTAAACATAATCAACGAAGATGATAAATACGCTGACACAATTCGTGCCAATGACATCAAGCAGACACATTACGCTACACACGAAGCACGGCAGATCGCTCAGCTAACCTGTCCACTGTTTCTTTTGACATTATGAGGGACGAGAAGTAACCGTCACAGCACTGTGCAGCGTTTTACGTTTTTCTTTGCGATATGCTCGCTACAATGAGACATCGTGTAACCCGTTTGTCCACACAAAAGCATCGCAGAATGTCCAGTCTCACGACTAGTAAAAAACACACGTACATCTTCGGTCTTTGTCTCATATAGAGATAGTGCACCTTCTTGCTCACCCTTTATCTCGCTCCTCTTCAGACTACGTAGAGACGTAGCAAGCGCAATGGACTCTCTCCCTGACAGTCAAAAACGCGGCGTCGCTGGACTCTGTGCGTGTCTCTTACCTGCCGTAACCGATGGCTCGACCGACTTCCTGTGGTCCCGAACGTACCTGAAGATCGTCGTCGAGCAGTTCCTGGGGCTCTCGAGGACCCAAACTGAAGCGTATGTACCCATTTTGATGTCCAGACACCAGCGCGTGGCAGAAAAGACACACAACTCGTCACGTGCACCGGCGACGCTCGTCGACGACTTGGACCCGTCGCCTTTTCTGGCGCTTGTGGTACCTCCACGAGCCATTGGGGACTCGACGCGACGTCGTCGAGACTGGCTACACCCAACGACGCTCGGAGTGTACCCATTGAGAGCAACGAAGCCATCGACGGATTCAAACAGTGCAAGTGACGCGCTGGACGAGTCGCACGTGCGTTCGTTTCGGCTTCAACTGATCAAGCAGCTGCTGTGGCTCACGATCAAGAGCGTGGGCTACGATGCTCGCGCGAGGACGCTACTGAGGCGACTCGTGCTTGCAATGCACGTGCAATGGAGGGACGTGACACAGGAAGAAGAGAGCATTGGCCAGACGCTGTACGCCGAAGCTGCCGCTACGCTGCTCGACCAGAAAGCAGCACGAAAACCAAAAGGTTGGGACTGGAAACGCCATGTGGCAATTGGTGCCGCAACTGTGACTGGCGGTGCTTTGCTGGCAGTGACAGGCGGTCTCGCTGCGCCTGCAATTGCAGCGAGCTTGACCGCGCTGGGAGGAGCAGGCGTGACGATAGGCGCTGCAGTGGGCTCAGCGACAGGCGTCGCAGCAACGACAGTGCTCTTTGGGACAGCTGGCGCGGGAGTCCTGGGCAAGAAAGCCGAGACGAGGACGAAAAGCGTTCATGACGTTGGATTTGATCTCGTGTCGGCAGGAGATGGCATGAATGTGTACATTTGTGTGTCGGGGTGGCTGGACGATGACGACTTGCCGACGAGCGGGTTTCGTCGAGCGTGGGGGGATAGTAGAGAGTACTCGCGTGCGCTATGTCAACAACGAGACCGTGAGAAGGCGGACCAGGCGGACCAGGCGGATCAACGGATGGACGAGTGTTCAAGTCGAGAAGGCGAGCTGTTTCCTACCATGCGTCGCACGTATAGCATCGACGCGAGCCATAAGACCAATGGCTCACCTGGAATCGCTCACTTGTCGAAGTCGTCACACATGGACAAAAATGAGCGCGGCAGTGACTCGATGCGTTTCAATAACGACTCGGATGCACGCTCTCGCAGTACGGCGAGCACATCAGCAAGTAGTGCTAGCTCACCTGGGTGGGAGCGAGGAGCCAAGCACAATCAGCTTCGCGCATGGCGCTGGAAGGACCGGTTTCCTCACGGTGACCAGTACTGCCTCATTTGGGATGAAGAAGTGCTACGGCGGTTTGGTAAATGCATGCGCACGTTTGCGGCAGAGCAAGTTTCGACATATGCGACGACAGAGATTGTCAAGTACACTGCATTGGCAGCCCTGTTTGCTGCCGTGGCGATTCCGCGAGCGATTTTTCGACTGGCCGACATCATTGACAATGCCTGGACAGTAACTATGAACGCAGCGGACACTTCTGGTAAATTGCTGGCGGATGCGTTGCGTAAGCGGGAGCAAGGTTTGCGTCCCGTGACATTGATTGGGTACGGTATGGGTGCCAGGCTGATTTTCTCCTGCTTGAAAGAATTGGCGAAAAAGGATTCGATTGACGAATCGTGCGGGATTGTAGAGAACGCTGTATTGCTCGGATCGCCTCTTCCTATGGATCGCGATGAATGGCTAAGTGCTCGTCGTATAGTCTCCGGAAGATTGATCAATGGGTACTCCGACAACGATTGGATGCTTGGTATTATGTTTCGTTACCACGGCTGGGCTCTGAACTCGGCGGGTATCGCACCTCTTGACATTGATGGCGTTGAAGACGTGAACTTGTCCGACATTATTGGAGGGCATTTGGAGTACAAGAGCAAGATCGGTGTCATAATGGATCGACTGCGGCTGGAAGATTAAGCGACGGCGTCGAACGCTTGGTTCGAAGTACAGCAAGCACAATTTGCGCCGTTGTGCATCGACGGTCGTATGGATATTTACTGCAAAGCGTTTCTAAGCATTCGACACAAAAGCCAAGCTTGGAGAATTGCAACTCTAAGCATTCATTCTGTGTCTGAAGGCCTGACGAAAGCGCAGCGCTGTCGCGGATATCGTTACGCGTGGCCAATCTGGGTATCCGTATTGCCTGGTAGGTTGACTCAATCAGTGTGCAGTCAAGAAGGCTGCGTTTTTTACCTGTCCCTTCATAATATGTGCTACATTCGCGCAAGGCAAGAAGACCCGATGAACCCGACATTCGTTTGCGCTACGAGCTCAGTATGGTTGACTGTGCGGTAAGAAGGCTGACCAGTCTTCTTAGAATGTCTTGACACTCAGGCCCGGCATCTTGCTAAGTATCTCCTGCAACAGCTATGATATTATTGCTTTACGCCTTCGAACTTGGCTCGGATGCACTCGATCGGAAGTCCACACTCATTCGCAAATTCCAGGCTACCACTTCAATTGCATGCCGTTCGTGTTTCTCATCGAGAGTCACCGCGTGGATTAGACTCATCTGCTATATGTGGTGACGTGGACTGCGACAGCAAAATATGATGACTCGAGGTTGTTGTCACTTCGAGCTTACTTGCTGCTAAATCTGACTGTACACGACTTTGACGTTGAGACGCTCGAGACAGGAACGGCAATCGAGATAGAGTCAACACGAGTGAGAATGACTTGGTAGATTTTCGCACGATGGCTGGTGCAAGGGACTGTAGTAAATGCGGCATAATGAATGACGCGGAACAGAGTCACACGAAATGATGAGGAAGATACGATACCTCCGTCGTTTGCAATTACTTCAAGCTGGGTCAAGCGTCTCGCTATCCGGCAGCCCGCACCGCTGGGTGCATTGGCATCCTCTTGTCCTGTCATCTGCCACTCAGCGAAACTAACTGTACGGCACGGTAAACGCATCATCGAATATTGGGCTCGGTTGTTTTCATGCTAGCCCCTTGCATACTGAGTAGCGAGTCGAGAATTCTTGTCGTACCGTGGAAGAGCAAACGCCGACAAAACACAGAACCCCAAGTCAGCACAGACATCCGTCTATTGATTTCTCCCAGACATCGTTGACTCTGTGAAGTCGCTGTGTTCAAGAAGTCTTGCGAGGTGTGCTAGCTCGCACGATAATGTACCCATGAAAAGTAGCTGGCACACGATCGCAAAAGCTTCGAAAAAGGCTTCTTGGACAGCAGTAAAGCCCAACGGATTCGACCACACGCCGTTTGCGCACAAGAAAAAGACACCGACTGGAGCACATCAAAGAAAAGAGAGAGAAAGAAAAAAAAGAACGGTAAACAAACTGACCATCATACATCCGACCCAGCTCATGCGTCTTACATAACAAGGTGGATGTCAGTCCCATATAAAGCACCAAACGTCCCAAAATGTACGCCGTAAAGCTATCCAATCGTCTCCACCGACGCAGTGATACCCAAAAGGATCGGCGCTGCAGCACTGTGAATAGACCGTCACGTTTTACCAACTTGCCATCAACGTCTTGACTCGCATCCGCATGCAAAGCGCTTGTTCGCGCCACTTGCACTGCAATCATCATCACCCACGCCGAGACGAAAAAGACAATAGTGCAGACAATGTGCGCGTCGTGGTGCGCCCGCATGTCCATCGCAGCGAGTCCAAAGAGCGACAGCGCTGTCACAAGGCCGAACACGAGGCACACGTAGCTTGCTGCCACGTACTGCGCACTGGTCTGTTTCCACTGCTTTGTGCGCTGGTGGCGCGTGCGTAGCTGCACGTACCAGAAAAAGAGCGAAATCGACACGAAGATCAGAGCGGCCGTGAGACACATGCCCAGCAGAAAGACGTGGCCTTCCGGTTCAAACGTTGCAGCGTACGACAGCGTCGGAAAAGCGTCGAGACAGTCGAAATGACTGGTGCAGGCCACCAATTCGGTGCTGAGCATCGTCGAGATGCCTATTATGGGCACGAGACACGCGAGGAAGCCAATGTCAAGTCTACCACCACTCATATTGATGAGAAGAGATGTGTGTGTATCGATAGATGTGGTGTGTGGGTGAGTGCCCTCCTCCCCCACTTCCTCTCGTCGACCTGCTCGCTTTTTGTGAGTACCGCTTGTGATTAATTTGTTTCGCTTGAATTGTCGCTACGACCGACGAGGCGACGGCGACTGGACTGGACGTTTGCTGATGGATAATTGTGACGGCATTCAGTGCCGTCTTTGTGCAAGCTAGGTGTAGCTTTCGATAAAATAACGGATAATAGTATAGGAGCGAATTGGTTTATTTCGGTCGTATAACTAAACTAAAAGGTATAAATTAACATTGACGCATGCGTTTTTGACAGCTTTTGTTTTTTGTGTTATTGACGATACTAAATGAATGAGGAGGATCAAGTTAATAGAAATTTCGATTTTGTGGGCGTCATCATTGAAGCAATAAATGTGCACCACGTCAAGTTACGAAAATACCTGAGGCTTTGCTTGGGTAATTCTTTCTACCGGGGAAGTTTTACTTTCGATCCTCAACCGCCCAGATACCTGCGATCAGTAGTAACCTACAAGAAATTCGACTCCGCGGTGTACCTTTTGCACATTTGCTTCACGCTTTCTACCGGCTGCGGCCTATTTTAGGCCCAGTCGGTGGTGCGGCCTTGGATTCGAACGTATGCGGATATAGCTGTCCACCTGCAGGCTCGAACCCTCAACCTCCCGGTCGTGGCTAAGCGACTGCACCTCCCCGATTGGTATGAAAGTAGAATCTGGGGCGGATACAGCAAAGCAAAAGAACGGGCACCGCGTGCTATCGCACTGACGAAAGACTTATTATCCTCGATATCTGAACGGAGATCCACGCTTTCTTAATGCAACAACGGCTGCTACAATGCGCACAATTCCCTATACATTAATTCTTCCGAACGCGCAAAAGCTAGACAGCAGGCCTCGGTAATCACAAACATCGAGGGCGTGTTTGTACAGTAAATTCTGTCTACATCAGTGCCTCAAAACTCTCCGTAATGTCATAGAGATCCTACCACCACGAAGTGTAAAATCGTGCAGTGCAAGATTCACAAAAGTGCCTAATTTGAATGGAGCCATAGTCCTCGCCCACTAATTACCACACATTTGATGAAATGACTACCCCTGTAACGGGGCACACCCTTGCGTGAACTTAACGCAAGGGTATCGGTGCCCCGACAGACGTACACAAGGCAAGCGAGGAAGCGTAGGTAAGGTAAAAGTAGAACTGTTATATTAATATAATCAAGTCTTTTAACCACTGTCTCTCTGTTTGACTTAACTTAATTATACTAATATAACTGAGTGTATGGTGGCGCCTCGTCACCACTCATTGCGCGCGTCTTGCGGCAGTTGGTGGGTTGATATCATCAAGGTATCAACCAATGAACAGACTCTTTGGTCGACCCTTCAATATCACCACTTTGGTGATATTGTTCAAAGAATATTCAACTTCATATTCTTTATTGTCACTTTCCTTTAAGTGACAATTCCATGTAACGGGCTGCCCCGTTACAACCCCCGCCCGACTCTACGGAAAACATTTGGGCAAACAAAAAAGTTTCAGTTTATCGATGCAAGAGCGTGCACATAAGCCCATAAAATCGTACACATACGCAGGTCGGCTGGCTAATCTATGGGGTGGGGCATGCCAGAATGGCTTTCCAAATCCTTCGAAGATAAGCGCTGTCCTCTATCGCACACAAATGCTACACATTGATTTTCTCCGCCGCTCGACTTCCTCCCCCATCGCCGCCTCCTACTTCGAAGTACCCATGACAGCGTCACGGCCTGACCTTCTCGTGTATCCAACATACAAAGCAGGCGCATTTTGTCGCAAAACAAAAGCATACATCAGACGTCATTTGACCGTGCTTCTCGCAAGATAGTGTTACCTATCTGCTTCAGACGTACGATTGTATGCGATCTTGTCTGTAAATAGGCAACTAGAGCTTGGACACCTAACCCAGCATTCCACCACGCATACATCTGCATCATGCGACCAGTGTCGAAAGAGAAGCTCGTCAATATCGCTCGCACTGTGTACAAGACGGTATCAGCGAGCTGATCCAACGTATTTGCCTCCGGATATTCCTTTTTGCCGTGTACAAATCTACAGCAGTAGCAGCAAATAAAAAGTATAATACAGTATTAGCCACAAATTATCATTTTAATAAATATTCCAGAAGAAATACTTGTGAGCCAAACATCACACGCGTACGTTTGTATCACTGAGCGATACGAATCTCAAGTTCGGCAGTAATTCTATTTGATGAAGCGCAAGCGATCTCACTACCGGTAGGTCACGGAGGAAGGCTCTCTTCGCAGCCTTCCTCGTGCTCGGCCGTTACAGGCTACTCCTTTCCTCCGCTCGTCATCAACTACATACATCAAGTGCACTACGACAGCCGAAGTATAGAAGACGATCTCGTCGCCGTCCCACACAAAACGACCTTATTCAACCACAGAAGGGTGGTTCAAGCTGCCGCTGAAGAGTAGGACGGGCGCCAACTGCTGAACATTCATTTTGACACCCTATGCACCGCTTGTTTATACATACGTAGTTTAAGCTGGAGGAAGCGACGGCTGCATGGGATAAGACACTATCGACACTCTAAAAACAACGACGACTCCGCACGGCTCTTGGTCGTCCGCTAAGGTTATTTTCGACAGAAATTCTTTGAAGAAGGTCGTCTTTATGTCTGAGCTACGACAGCTGCTTTCGATAAGACACTGTCGTCCATTCGAAACGCTGACGATGCGTCAACATGACGCTTGGAGGTTGCGCGTCAACATATGCTAGGCAAAGGGCCAGGGCTCGGCATGCATATGAGCGACCGTTCCGTGTCGAGCAGCACAAGGCACCAGGGGATAGAGCACGCACACTTCGCCGATGTGATTAATTAGGTCCAACGCGGCTGTCCCTTTTTTGATAGTGTTTACGTTACCTCATCGATAGTGTTTACCAGCCGTGTGGACGTGTCTGTACCGCAATAATCATGTCCGGTAATTTCGTGCACGTTTCGCGCTTGTCTTTCTTAGTAGCAGTGAGCTGATGAACATATTGTCGTGAAGAGGAGATGCATTGATCGAACGGCAGCAAGCTGGAATGCGAGAGTAGCACATAAGATCGACCATGTGGACTCTAAGATGGTCGACCTCGAAGTTCGTATGGTTAATCTCATGTGCTACTCTCGCCTTCGTCTTCGTATAAAGAGTGTAAAACCCTGAAGAACTCTTTCTTGACTTCATTGGACGAGACGTCAATAGGACTGTTAATTCATTCGATTTGTAGTAGCAAATGCTAAAGGCGACCACCGAAAAGCCAGTCAAAAGATGTGGCTGACGTATAACTGCTCTGCGCCGGCTGCTATCGATCAGATGGTGAGAGATGGTGTTTTTATAATTGCTAAAAATAGTGTGAGAGAGTACTAAGGTCCAGGAAACGAGTAAAACGTCCTCGCTGTTGTATGGTATGAGTGGAGATGGTTTATCAAAACGGCATATAGCGACTGGGGTGAGAGCAATATAAAATCATGACTATCGATGGCAGCTGGCTGGAAACTACTCGTGAGCACACACAGATGATCTAAGCCCTCTGGGCGTGACATTTGTTGGTATACTACTGAAAAAGACTCGTACGACCGTTATTCGCTTCTCCATTGTACGGTATATTCGGATACGTCTTTCCCCTCGTATCGTAAGACTTTTACTGAGCGTGTGAGGCACTTGAATCTGAAGCGTCGTCCATACCAGCTTTCATTCCGCAATCTGCTGCCAAGTAGAAAGAGCTACGACAAGACATTGACAAGAGATTGACAGCAATGCGCATCAGCAACGGACTCATCATTGCCATTGCTGCTGCCGTCTCCGGGTATTCCTTCAGCGCACCTCACTGCAAGATACCCGCTTGTGAGTTTCGCACGCTCGGTGAGATCGACCATCTTTCCAACCTATGCGAGCGTCTTAACAAAAGAGAAGGCGTAAACACTGGACATTGTTGTGTGAGACGTTGCACTTGGCCGAGATGCAACTTTTACCCGGGCGGTAGAAAATTGTCGAATCCAGTCCACGCATCGAACCAATGCCAGTGGGTGTCCGGTGAGAACTTCAAAGACTACGAAGCGTGCTGCTCGCATTGCAGCACCGCCCCAGACATTTTTTTGTGCAACCTCCGCCTTAACCCTGAAGACTGACAAGCTTGCCCCACGATCTAGTGAAGTGATCATCTTCGAATGGAACGGACCTGAGATCTTTCAGCTGATCTTTTTGTTTCTATGCTAGTCTTGTAGCCTGTAGCAAATGTTATTAAACTAGTTTTAATACAATTGTTGTGTCTTTGTAAAATATCGGGTGCTCAATTATTATATTATTGTAGCTGTGTAGATGCATTACTGATAGAAAGTCTCGCAGTCATTGTTGTTCTACGACATAGGGTTTCCGAGCAAGCCTGTACGGTCTACTTACAAAAAATTCTCGTTCTCGCCCGCAAGCAGACCGACTAAGGACCACTACCTAATAACATCGCTGCTGGATGAAGGATGCTTCGCTGGCTTACCATCGAAGGCGTGCCGTGGAAAGCTACAAACGTAGCCGATAGTGCAACAAATGCCAGCTCACGGACTGTTCAAGCCGTTAAATATGTTTCTAGGTGCTCATTGTATGATATGTAGCTTAAATTTCGTATGAAACTCATGACAATAATCAAGCCTTTATTGGCATGCGGGAACTGAAAGCGCCTTAGCTTCATTTGTAGACACGATCGCATACACTTCGCTGCATTAGCCCTAAACGTTCGAGTGTCAAGTTCACACGCGTCTACTGATATGGCTCCTAAAGTACGTGAGACAAGACATCGCCGCAAAAGCGGCATTCGACGTCCAAAAAACGCAAGAATGTTTAGACCGATTCAATTTGTGCGACAACAACATTGGAATTGGGCAGTCGTGACGTGGGGCCCAAGCAATCTAAGTCCACTCGCACCGAGAAAAACG